CATTGAGACATTGAATGCATTGCCACCAATAATCTGGTGAAGATGCGGTGACACCTTCTCCCCTGGGTTCACCAGCGGGTCTAGACGTTCGACGACTAGCTGCGAACATGAGAATCGGAGAAGGGCATGGATGCTCGGTACGAGCCCAACTATGGTGAATTTTGTCCAACGCATGACGACAATGTCGACTCGATTTAGAGGGTGAGGTGGGGTAGAGCTTGTGCGTGTGGTATCGCCTGCCTCTTATAATCCGCTGCAGGTATGAAGATATGATTAGGGTGGATTAATATCCAGCTATCTGGTTCTGTATCTGCGTTCTGTGGGGCAAGTATAGGCATGGTTATTTGGCAAGGTGTCGCACGAGGGCACAGGATCAGTTGCAGTGACAGAGTCCGGGTCAAGTAGTCGAAAGATGTTTACCTGGAATGGTGTATTAGTCTACAAATTTCCTCCAATTAGAAAAGTCAAGGAAAGTGGATTTAGCGTTGATCTCCTTTGTTGATGTCGAATGAAGCTTTGCGTGGGTATACAAAAGGCTTGGCGTCTAGGTTCTTGATTGCCAGCAATTAGTTGCTTCTGCCGACACCCGCCATTCCCGGACGGATTTGGCTGTCCCCACACAAGGTTCCAGGAGCCGAAGGTCCGTAAAGTACTCAATGTGGAGCTGCATTTCTAAGCGATAGAGCCCACCGCCTGCCACTTGGATTGCGGAACCCGTACCAGTTGAAGTGATGGTCCTGCTCTGGAATGGACTGAAAATTACATTGAGAAAAAACGACGATACGAAAGGGGAATCTTGACAGAGTTTACATGATGAGTGGTAACCTCCCCCCAAGCAGTATCGTCATCACCATCATCATCCTCCTAACCCACCACTTAGTCCCCTGATTTAGGGTGCGAGACAGTGTCATTACGAGGGCTAGTTTTCCCAATGATGCAGAATCCCCCTGGACGCAAGGCCATACCAGGAGCCCATACCAGGAGATGCTCAATCATTGATACAAAATCGCCAATATGGCCATCAAGCAATCCTAAGCCATACAAAGCTTAATCTCGCATGTTTCCAGGTCTCAATCGGTAGCCGAAGCGCTCTCTTCGCCTCCGCTAACCAGATCGCTAAGTTCTGATTCGCTGTCTTCCACATGATGCCTTTTTTTGCCCTTCGTCTTTTGTTGACTGCCGCTCTTTTTGGGACTGAAGTTACTCTTTCTTCCACCAGTGCGCTGAACCAGATGGTCAATCACACATCCTTGATCCCAACCCTCGCTATTTTCCCCAGTAATAGCCCTACATCGAGGACAAGTCTTTCCGTGTTTGATGAAAAGCTGATGTAAAGGATACTTTAGCTGATCAGGGATGCGAACTTCGCAATGTGCGTACGTTGAGTTCCGCGTCGGTCCAGGAAACTTCCCTTTAGCGCCAGGAAGAAGCCCGGCTGGGTCTCCCGGTGATGGCACCCAGCCGAGCCACTTGCAGAGACGAAAAACATGCGTATCGACGGCAAATGAAGGCCGCTGCATGCAGAACAGAAGCACACAGGACGCAGTCTTGGGCCCAATACCAGGGAACTTTGTCATGGCGTCGAAAGCGTCGTCATTCGAAAGGAGATGCAGATGATCGAGCGAAAGGATATTTTCCTCAGCTTTAACAACCTCGGCATTCCTCTCTTTAGGATTTTCATTCTCCGAGCCTGGAGCACCGTTCTGTGAGATGAGTGCATCCCGTCGTGCTTGGTTTTCTTCCCACACCATTTGCAGGATTTTTTTAATATCTTTACTCTTGACATCTGCTAGACCACCGCTTTTGATGGCCTCGAATATGTCCTTGGTATCCGCCAGGCGCACTTTGTTCCAGTCAACGCTGCCTTTGCCGATGCCCTCCTTGAGCACGCCAAACTTGGAGACGAGGCCGGCAAAAGCGCGGGAAGAATTGGTACCAGACGTTGCTGCCGACAGTCGAGTCCGGATCAGAGCGTCGAGCACAGAAGGCACTTCACCGCAGCCGGACACGGTGAGGGAGGGCGTAGGTATTGTCTTGGGCGGCTTCACATCGCCGTGCACACTTGATAGGAGACGGGTTACCTCCTCGCACTCATCCGCAGTCGGGTGTAACCAATTTGGATAAGGTGTTTGTCCTGGTTTTAGGCCGTAGCTGTTGTTCTTCGACTTTTTGGGCGACGATTCGGTAGCAGTGGCTTTCGCGATAACCTCGTCAAGCTCTTCTTTCTTGGCTTTACGGGCTCTCTTCTTCGGAAGATCGGTTGGCAAAGACGTCTCATCCTTTGGTATCAGCTCTGGGATACTTCCTAAATTGTGGGGAAGTTCGTTGGCATTCTCGTCTTTCTTGATGTCACCTGGACGGGACCTCTTTCGAGCGGTGTTGGGTGTGACTGGGTCTCTTGTGGGAGGCGAGGAGTCTGGTTCGGTATTCGCTGGTTTTTTCCTTCTGCTTTGAGATGGAGCTAGGGGGGCGGAAGGACTTGACAGTTGCATCTGCCCGGCTGTTGAGCTGGCCATTTTGGCGGCAGATGTCCTGGTGACTCTCGTCATGGCGAGGTAGATGGTCGAAGGGATTGAAGGGGAGAGTAGAAACTGCAGCGTGATGTCGAAGGTTCAGCGTGGCCGTCGGTACACTCTATCATCAACCTGAATTTCAAGTGAGATGGGCTCTGGGGACAGGAGAATGTTAGCAAGGGGAAAGCGTGAATGGATGACGTCTTGATTGGAGCTCGGGCCCGCTGCAGGAACGAGGCGCGGAAGCGACCCGCTTTGCCGCCGCTGTCCTCAACCCAATGTCGCATCCTTAATTACAGCCTACATTATACTATTACTCGTCTCACCATCGACTCTTCTTCACCATGGCGGGCAAGGCGCCACTAGTTGTGCCCGCTCTCAAGCGACACACGGCAACCGTCATCATGGCCCATGGCCTGGGGGACAGCGGGGTTGGATGGTGAGTCTCTCATGTGGTGAAGCTATCAAAACCACTCACACCATCAGGATGTTCCTTGCCGAGAACTGGCGCCGGCGAAGCAAGTTCGAAGAAGTTAAATTCGTCTTCCCTAACGCGCCCAACATCCCCATCACCCTCGTACGTTGTTCCCCATCCTCGCCGCCATCCTCGTCCTCGATAACAGGGTTGATATGCACTAGAATATGGGCATGCGAATGCCAGGCTGGTACGACATCAAATCTCTTAGTGACCTTGCGTCTCGAGAAGAAGACGAGGCTGGCATCAACCAGTCCCGTGAATTCTTCCATTCCCTCATCGACGCCGAAATCGCCGACGGCATACCAGCGAATCGGGTCGTCCTGGGAGGCTTCTCGCAGGGCGGTGCCATGTCATTGATCTCTGCAGTGACATACAAAAACCAGCTGGGCGGCATCTTCGGGCTCAGCTGCTACCTGTTACTGCAGTCCAAGATCAAGGGCATGATCCCAGCTGATAGCCCAAACAAGAACACCCCCATCTTCATGGGGCATGGAGACGCCGATCAGGTAGTTGCGCATCGCTACGGTCAGATGAGCGCCGACCATCTCAAAGAGATGGGGTACAAAGTTGACTTTCGTACCTATGCGTATGGCGAATCTCCCTTGCACGCTTAAGCCAGCGCTGATCAGTTCCAGGGACCTTCCCCACTCGGCCGATCAGGATGAGATTGACCATCTAGAAGGATACTTGAACCAACAGATACCTGCACTCGGCGAGAACAAGGATCCAGGGGAAGCCCTGTGACTTGCGTCCGGGCATGTCGGCTCGGGCATATCTCTAGCGGCGTTGATTTCCGCTATTGCCGTGATTATCATTTCAGTCCTTGCTTGGGCTGCAATCGTGAAAAGACAAAGGATTGAACCAAAGTAACAAGACCTAAAATAGACGAGCACTATACATGACTAAGTCGGCAGCTGTGTCTTAAAGTGAGGCTGCCAAGTAGTCTGACGTTCGAGCATGCGCGCAAAGGTCATGTTCCAAAATTCGATAAAGCTTCTACCCTGGCCATGTGGGAAAGCTCGACTGTAATTTGGAGACACCCTATCTTGTAGCCAGTTACGTTCTCATCTAGAATTTCAAAGCTCCACTCTGCTGCATTGAGCAAATTGCTCTAGCCGTCAACGTTTTCGACTGCGTAGCGTGGAAATAGCCTCAGCAGCCGCATCCGAAATAGACCGATCCCTTTTAATTTGAGGTGAAGAGAGGTAACCTGACCTGGTGCCCGCCATTTATCATGGCGCATCTGATGAAATGACCTTTTTACCTACAGCTGCAGCGTTTACCACAGCAAAAGCAATCCATGCGTCGGCGTTTTTGATCATTGATTGGAGCACAGTAGCAACGGTGTTTGTAACGGGGATCAAGGTTCGAGGAAGCAAGCTATGAAGCAATACCGAGTTCTTGCAGACCATTCAAGGACAAAGCCCGGCGGTGCAAGTAGTGTGATGGCGAGGCATAGGTATATATTGATGAAAAGGCTGGCGCAAACCCAAGCTGTCTTGACTGGGTTGGCAACAAGGACTTGAGTACCTTGCATGCTAGATCGCTGCTCAAGCGCGAACCTTCAAGGTGAACGAAGTGAGATTGGCCATTGCGAGGTTCTGGAATTCGGGGGGAGAGGTGAGGACGAAAACGAAGATGAGAATCAGTGACATTTTTGGAGGTTATCCAACACTGGCGATTATTCTCTAGCACTCTGGACCCTCCTCAAGCCTGCATGCGATGTTTGCCCAGATATGATGGTTAGAGCGATGAAATCGGCAAAGCACTGCGTGATAGGAATGCCTCTCGAACAACACTCCATGCCCACATAATATTCGGAAGCATTTGTAGTGTAGTATGTACGTGTAGTATGTACGTGTATTATGTAAAAAAGGCCTGTGAGTTACCTGCCCAACGTGTTAGCGCAAATTCACGGAAGGTGGACGGACACGTGCATGAGATTAGTGCATGCCTCACTGCCCCACAGTATCCTATCCTAGGAAGTAAAAAAATATAAGAAAGCACTTCTCCCCGACTGGGAATCGAACCTGAAGCATGTTCAGCGGGTGTCATGTGGAGAGGAGGAAAACCGTACCCAGGTCTCCCGCGCTTGCCGTTATCTGATGAGAGATTGGTTGACAAGCGGAAATCATGACCACTAGACCATCGAGGATTTGTAAGAGGCATTCAGTAGATAGTAAGGTTTCCAATCTACAAATTCAAATAGTAACTATAAGTGGAAATACGTTTGGCCCGTTCGGAGGGAGCTGCGGAATTGATGGAATGGAAGACTGTGTGATTGGCGGGGCATGCTTAGTACAGATTGGGTGTGGGTGACAAAGACGTTCGCGACGCGATGCAGCACAAACGGAGTTATTATCAAGATATCCACCTTGAACCGGGCAGGACCGTCGCAGTTGAGGGGGGCGGCGTCAACTTCGGAATCTCAACGCACAAAGCGTTGATCCCTGGCAGAAATTTGCATTTAGGGAGAGCTTCACAGAACACATACAGATAGAAAGCGCCGGAGTGAATTCATTAATCTACGAATCGTTGTATGCAGCACCAAGAGACATAGAGCCATCAAAGGAGCGCTGTAAAAAGCACAATGTATCGACACCATCGAGCCGCTAATTCAGTTGAAATCCTTAGCAGTAGATACTGGGCGAATCTCCCTCTCACGCGCACATGTCCGAATCAGTGAAGAACCGGGGCCTCACGGGCAAAACCAGAAGTAAAGGCTTGCCCTCAGCGTTCGCGTTGAAAAGAGGGACAAAGTCGTGGCATGCGAAACAGATTTGCAGGGCGGCTTAGTCACCACACGCTACCGGTAGTTAACTTAGTTAACGTATCGGATCAGTAAGCTGCGCAGAGCAGTAAGCTGCGCACCCCACCAAAACGCGTACACATTTTTATACAATATCTCCACGCCACCATAATAAGATATATAGCAAATGGATCTATTGGATGCGCGCTATCTAATAGTACACTGAGTCCTTCTGTGTCCTTGCTCATGACACTTGCTGCATGTTGGTGGTGCTCGAGGTCGGCTTGCCTGCCCTGCCCGCTCTACCTCCTGGGCTACCCTTTCAGCCCCTGCAGCAAGCAATTGACCTTCCTCTGCCCTTAGAGCACCTCCATTGGCAATATACTGTCGGCGCTGCTGCTTTTTACGTTGCTGGCGCTGACTAGCCTGTTGAAGCTTCTTATTTTCTACTGTAAGGATCGTCGCTGAATTCATTGCTAGCTGACAACCTTTGACAA